GTGTGCATACATGGTGTGACTATTCTTCCTCTTAAGTACTCTTTATACTGCAATGCCCTCTCTCTCTCTCTTTTCTGACATCCAAGCCAATATCGGCGGGGAGCCCAGAAGATGAATGAACCTGCAAATGCAGCATTAAAAAGTCATAAACGGGAATACCTTCAGGGTGCATCCTCACTAGAGAGGGGTGGCCCTTAGCTTTTTTTTCTGCATGGTAATAGTTTGAGAAAAGGTGGACCAGCAAAAAGGAGATCCTCGGCAATTTGTGCTGTCATTCCAGGGTTATGAGATGGACACAGGGGCACTCAGCCAACAGCAATGAGCTACTGCTCTGTGGACTGTGCATAAACTCTTAAGCCAGATTCTCACTGGGGTGTGGCTGGAGGTGACGTACTTGTTGGAGATGTGATAATTAACGTGCACATTTTCAGTAATCTGTTTTGGCGACATGTTGAAAACTGAGAGGTGTTTGAGACTGGTTTCTGACACTCAACTCAAACTAAAATACTGGCTTAGACTTTAAAACAGAGTGGCAGCAAGAAGCACAAGCTCAGGTTTAAAGCTGACGATTCACAAAGAAGTGACAGCATTTCAACAAAACTTGAGAAACTGCTGAAATCAGATGATATGTTTGAAGGGAAGAACAGGTTTTCTTTCAGGCAGCTCTTTCCCACTGTGTCCTTCATCAGCACTGACTCATTGGTTTCACAGTGCAGAGCTGACATTTTCATTGGCCCAAAGATCACATATGGGGCACGGTGTTACCTCCTGTGAGATTGGACCAGTAAACAAGTGGACAGGGCCCAGTGAGTCCTGGTCTCCCATGCAAGATCTGACAGCGCGTGATTACGTCTTCTGCACACAAAAGCATTTTGTCAGTCAGTATCTCCAGGCTGACTGACACGACTGACATTGTTGATGTACAGAACCTTTGTTATGATGTGTGTCTCTCACACTCAGTGTCTACTCAATGTCTACAGCCCATCTAGCTTACAGGAGAAAAGTCATATCAACAAGGAAAAGCGACATTTCACTTACAATGGCAGTGTGTAGTTTCCAGGCAATAGGAGGCAGTACATATATACATTCACAGTAGTTTTACACCATATCGCTGTCGCTGTTGCTGGTAAAAATTACAGTAAATGTTATACATGGAGCAGAAAGCAATCAAACCTCGGTGTGACTCCTCCGACTTTAATGGCCTTTTCAGTTAATTCCAACAAAATAATGCAGTGCCGATTGTAGTTTTCCGGTGCTGCATTTTCCGTAACTGCTCGGGGTCCTGTGCCTGCCAAGATGTCATCACACTACGGCAATACGGCTGGACCAAAATATGTTGCATCTCTTTTTTGATGCTGTTCTTTCACATACGTTTTGGAAAGAGTTTAGCAATTTTGTTATGACATTTGTCACCGACAGGCGCAGGACCCCGAGCCAGCCAGAACAAAACATGGCGTCTAAAATGGCATTCCCCAAAGATGCAAGTTCCATGCCCTATGTACTTAAGATCCGATTTTTATGGTTATATTGTATGAAGCCGCCCAATGCTTTTTTTTAAACAACTAGACATTGTTTAATTCATTTTCAACAACAGTTTGATGGATATTTCCAGAGATTAACATTAAAAACTACACATTGTCTCTTTAAGATCAACGCCTGACAAGCTGAATAACTTTTATTTGAAGTACTTCTTAAGCTATTGGCTCCTTTGGAAATGTTAAAAGTATTTATTTGAGACAAAAACATCACTGGAGAGACTTTGCACCAGTGAAAGTCTCACTATAGACTAGGGCTGCAACAAACGATTATTTGGATAATCGATGAATCGGATGGGGTCTCGACACGATTAATCGATTAATCAGATTACATGGGGAAATTTTTAAAAACTGCTAAGGAAACGTTATTTCTCTCCTTCCTTCACTTTATTTAACACAACATTATTAGAAAACAGTTCAATAGCAGAAAAACAACATGCCATCACCTTAATTGTCTTATAAGGTGTATAGACAGAGACCCTAAGCTACATCTATCTGTGACCTAAAATGCTTGGTCCAATTAAACAGCTTAAGGGCAATTCTCATCTGTTTTGTTTGATCTCATCTGTAGACATTTATTATAACTGGGGATGTCAAACAACTAATTTTTAAATGTAATTAAACATTGGCTGTGAATTAATCTAGATTGATCACTATTTCCAAAAATGACTGAAAAAATAAGTTGTCACACACTCCATGGAAACTTTCAGAGAATCCACAAATAGTGGCTTTCAAATTGTTTTGTTACTTTCTGCAAGTTTAGAAAAGCAGCAGATGAGACAGCATGTCTGATAATTTGGTTTTTCATCTGATAACATTAGAACATGTCAGCGATGTCTGAGGGGCTTTTACAAATACTGTATAACTAACACTACTGGAGAGGGTATGAATTACACAGAGGCTTCTGGGGAGCCCAGTTATGGGGGGCATTTTGCCTTGGCCCCCAAAATGTCTTGAAACGGCCCTGGGTGTGTGACTGAGTGTTGAAGGTGACCTGAATTGTATCAGATGTATAAATATGACATGTGTGTAACTTATTGTTTTATACAGGTAAAAACGTGTAGTGGAGATAAATCTATCTACATTTTACTTTTCAACACTTTGTTTTGTTGTTTTTATTGAACTATTTTCCTGTCTTGTCTGTCTCTCATCTTCCTGCATCTCTTCTTAATTCTCCAGAAAATCTGTTGCCTGGGTTCTTACTTTTTCACCTCATCAGTTACTTTTGAGCAGATCAAAGGGATCTCCTGACCGCAAAGCGCAGAGCGCGTTTTCGATGCAGCGTGAGGTGACATCACCGCAGCACAGGTGATGAGCTCCGCAGTAGCAGAGCGCTTCAGGCACAAATAAGACAGAAAATAGAGAACATGTGCAGACATGAACGATCGTGTGCTAATTATAGTTTTTTGGTTGCGCCACTTTGAGAATGGACCGTGCGCTGGACGCAGCTGCCTGGATCGCTGCGTAACAACAGCGCTGTGCCGCTCTCTGCTCAAAAGAGTCCAAAAATGATATAATATAGAAAACTTTTTTCCGGCTCCCTGGATGTGTAGGATATCCAGCTCCCCCATAATTCGATCCCTGCTCCTGGATGAAAAGCCGGACATTTTCGTCAGTACAAGAACCCGCAGTCCGGACGCGCCGGACAGAGAGTGAAAAGTGGACACGTCCGGGGAAAACGGAACGTACGGTCACCATAGTCCTCATAAAGCAGGAAATTATAGATACAGTATTTTGCTCTTGCCCTGGGCCCTTTAGAGTTCGTGGGCCCTGGGCAATTGCCCAGTTAATCCGGCCTTGGAACCGGTTCGCAGCAGCGCAAGTCCCCCCGCTCATCTAATAAGCGTCGCGCTCACGACTTTAGACTCTTGTTTTTACGAGCTTAGGGCATGTCTAGCCTGTGTAATAATCCGGGACTTGGATGAATCACTTTTGAAAAGTTTTTAGCTTACCCGGACACAGAGTTCTCTCCTTCCTCACTGATGATCCCGACATGCTTTCGTTTAAGACGCTGCATCATCCTGTGCCATGCTAAGTCTGACCTAAACGTTGCAGGTAACGCATGTCTTCGCCTGATTTAACTGAAAATGCTCCCAAACTTAAAAAGCTTTTACTTTTTTGACTCTCGCTGCTTCTGCCATGTTCCTCTTCCAAACAACTGCCGGCTCTCCCTTGCGCTGATCTGTCTGCGCGCAACGGCGGGCGGGAAGGGGGGGGCGCTTTTGGAAGAGTTGTGCAACACAACGAATCGATGACGCAATTCGTTGCCAACGCTTTTAGTAATCGATTTTCATCGAATTTATCGATTCGTTGTTGCAGCCCTACTATAGACCACCGCCACCCTTTGTAGACACAAGCCATCGCAGACTTTCACAATCCATACACACTGAAGCAAACCCCAGGGACACTTTTGGCTCATTCCCCTCACGCCTGCAGGGCCATCCAGCGTCCTCCGATAAATTTCTGCTCTCCCACAGGCCGTGCCAGTCTGGCCAGTGCTCGGAGTCACTCTCTTGTGCATTCTCTAAAAATGAACACTAATTTTACTGCAGCACAAGCTTGCGTCATAGAATATCTGGGGAGTTTTGATAGGTGGGTTTTTCTTCCATGCCAGATTTGCAATGGTTGGGCAGATGTGTGGGTCAGTCTCAGAAGAGTTTCCAGCTTGACATTTAGTGTTAATAGCTACACAGCTACACAAAACTGCTGCAATTTATGAGACCTAAACAAAAACATTGTCTTAATGTTTGGCTTCGTATGCCAAACTCTAAATCGTTGATGTCTCTCTTCAGTGTCACTGTGTGACACACCGTGTCTCGACGTCTGTCTCATTTTGTTTGTAGGTCATTTCTTGTGTGCAGCATTTGCTTTATTTATTCTTGTTTATTTTTCTTCCCACCCTGAAAGTTTGCCTCTTTTCTTCTTTCATGGTTAAAGTGACCGTGTGTATCGTTCTTGGCGATAGAGGGCAGTAGATACCAAAATCATTGCAAGCAAGCAGTATTTTTGTGTTGGAGTAAGATCTTACTAATGGATGCTCATTAGGGTCAAAAAGGCCTGGGGAGTGCAAATTTTAGTTAAATAACAAGCACATCAGACCTCCTTTCATCACTGGCAACAAGTGAAGAGGTAAATGTGTAAAATAACAACATTTAAGAATGACAAAGTTTTGTAACCGTTTGATACAAATCAGTAAATGCATTTTGTCTTTATAGGCTACCGTAGAAGCAAACATGGCATCTAATTTGGCATTGCCCAGAGACTTAGACCTGCTCCCATGTATTTTAGACCTGATTTTTATGAATATTTGGTATGAAGTTGCCAATATTTTTCAACAACTGGGCATCTTTTCATGTATTTTCCATAACATGTTCATGGATATTTCCAGAAATTAATGGTAAAAACTGCACAGTGTCTCTTTGCCTCTACTTGCTATTTCATCTCTCCATCTCTTCTCTTCTTTAGTGCTGTTCAGCCTGCTGTCAGTGGGTGCCCAGACGGAGATAAAGAAGGTACTTGGGGACAATGCCACCTTACCATGCTACCACCAGTTCCCATCATCTGGCTCTCTTGACATCGAGTGGCTACTGCAGACTGCTACATCAAAACAGCAAGTGGTACGATTTCCTGTATTTTAATTTTTACTCACTGCTTGGAGCTAATGCATTTACCTAGCCCAATTAAGTGGTAAACATTTTAGAATACCTGATCATATTTTTAGCATCTATGGTGTTCTGGGGGGGGGGGGGGGGGGGGGGGGGGGGGGCTTATGAACAGGCAATATCTTACATTTTTGCAGTCTTAGTCGGAGCCGAAGCAATTTCCACAGATATTTCATGATATTTCTACCCAAATGTCCATGGAATGTGAAATTGATCACAAAAGGTTTCTAAAATTGTGTTTAAGCTGCTATGGAGCCATTTTTAGACAGCAGAAATCTACTGTAGAACAGAACTAGCCGTTGGTGTGTCAGTTCTGTCTGTTCCTCCAGACTGAGGTTGTTCGAACAGCCATCTACTAACACTAACACATTACCTTGTCTTCACTTCCCATCAAAATGGTAACAAAAGAGATATTTTGGAGGAAAGAAAAGGAATGAAAAGGGTAAAAAAGTTTTTTTTTTAATTATTTTGCTGATTCCAGAATGAGGCTGCAACTGTGATTAATAGTCCAACCGAGAATAACAGGAAACAGTAATTAAACTCAAACATCTGAAAACTGGATTATGTGACTGCACCTGTAGTTGAATGAATAAATCATTATTTTGTTCTGTCATATTTGGAGTGAGTCAGCAACATTTATTCCCCTTTTGCCAATGTACAGACAATATGTAGAATCATGTAGAGTTTCTCAACAGGTGCATAATGTTTCTACATTAAGTGTAGAGGTAATAAAATGTAAAGTAACATGTTCCTTGTTTTTGTTGAATAAAGACAGCTTGGGTGGTCAAATGTAGTATACCAAAAAGTCAAAGCAGTGTGTGAGCTGCTTTCTATGTAAATTAGAAATGTAGCATGTCACTCCTGCTACATCTACATGTTCCAACCCGTTTCAACGTCAGCAATGTTTAAACGCTAGTCACAGCAACGCTACCACAGAGTCACGATAAGCCAAGCCACTTTAAATGCATAGTCACTGGAGGACTGGATCTTGTTTAGGGTTAGGGTGAGTCTGCTTCTCCAGAACTCACAGGTTGCCAGTCTGCCCCTGGTTGTTGCATTTAGTCAGGACAGAAAATAAAAATCTACTGATTAAAAGCAAAAAATAAAAATAACCTTTATCACCCTTTCTTCAGTAGTTTGTGATCCTTAGTAAAAGTTGATGAGGCTATGTCATCAATTTACTATGAAAGTAAACAAGGAAGAAATCAAATGTGATGTATTGAATTAAGTCAGCTTGTTTTTGTTTTGCCTTATATCAGTATGGCTTGTGCTGGCAGGAAAATAACTGATTGTTTAATTGCAATTGGAGGCCAAATAAAATACTCCTAGGGTCACAAATGGTAAATACAGACCAGGTCAAAAGTATTGGCCCCCCTTGTTCAATGAAAAAAAATAAATCCCACTATGTTCACAGAAATAACTTGAATCTGACAAAAGTTTTTTTTAATTAAAATTCAATTTAAGTTAACCAATGGAAGTCAGACTTTGCATCCCAACCACGTTTTAATTATTTAAAAGAATAAACTCATGAAACAGGCCTGGACAAAAATCACGGTACCCTGAACTTCATATTTCGTTGCACAATGTTTTAAAGCAATCTTTGCAATCAAACGCTTCCTGTAATTGTCAATGAGACTTCTGCACTGATCAGCAGGTATTTTGGCTCACTCCTCATGAGCAAACTGATCCAGGTATGTCAGGTTTGAAGGGTGCCTTTTCCAGACGGCATGTTTCAGCTCCTTCCAAAGATGATCCGTAAGATTGAGGTCAGGGCTCATAGAAGGCCACTTTAGAAAAGTCTAATGTGTTCTTCATAGCCATTCTTGGGTGGTGTTGGCTGTCGTTTGGGTCATTGTCCTGTTGCAAGACCCGTGACCTGCAACTGAGACCAAGCTTTCTGACACTGGCCAGCACATTTCTCTCTAGAATCCCTTGATAGTCTTGAGATTTCTTTGTACCCTGCACAGATTCAAGACACCCTGTGCCAGACCCAGTAAAGCAGCCCAGAACATAACAGGGCCTCCTCCATGTTTCACAGTAGGGACAGTATTCTTTTCTTGATATGCTTCATTATTCAATCTCTGAACATACAACTGATGTACCTTGGCAATAAGTTCCATTTTTGTCTCATCTGTCCATAGGACATTCTCCCACAAGCTTGGTGGCTGGTGAACATGTAATGTGGCATTTTTCAGTCTGGCTTTTTTATGATTTGTTTTCAACAATGGTGTGCTCCGTGGCTCAAACAATGATGGATGGTGCGATCTGACACTGATGTGTTTTAAGTTTGAAGTTTACCTTGGATATATTTAGAAGTTTTTCTGGGCTCTCTTGTTACCATTCAGATTATCTGTCTCTTTGATTTGTCACCAATGTTCCTCCTGCAGCCACGTCCAGGGAGGTTGTCTACAGTCTCATGGATCTGAAATTTATGAATAATGTGTGCAACTGCAGTCACGGGAACATCTACCTGCTCTGAGATGGTCAAATAGCCTTTACCTTTAACATGATTGTCTATCATTGTCTTTCTAATCTCCTGAGACAACTCTTATCTTTGTTTCCTCTGGTCCATGTTGAGTGTGGTACACACCATGTCACCAAACAACACAGTGACTACCTGGAGCTCTATATCAAGGACCACTGACTGATTATAACATTGTAGACACCTGTGATGCAAATTAGAGGACACACCTTGAATTAGCATGTCCCTTTGGTCACATAATTTTCAAACTTTTCTAGGGGTACCATCATTTTTGTCCAGGCCTGTTTCATGAGTTTATCTTTTTTATTATCGTTTATAATTCCGTTGAAGCATGGCTGTATAACAAAGTCTGATTTTCATTGATTAAATTTCATAGAATTTTTATTTATTACTACTTTTGTCAGATTCAAGTTTTTTCTGTGACCATTGTGGGTTTTTCTTTCATTGACTGAAGGTTCCCAACAATTTTGTCCATGACTGTAAGCCACACTTTGAGCAAACCTGACACTGACATGACAACAACACTGCAGGTTTTACTTTTTCTGCACACAAATATACAGCATTTCTGCAATTTTAAAAGAATTGCAAGCAAAAGGTAAAGAAATACAATTGTACGTTTGGGGAAAATTAAGTGTATAGCTTGAGAGAAAAACTACATTTGTGTCCAATCTCCTTTAGTCAGTCATTTTTTCTTTTGTCTTGAGAAACAAACTAAGTAGATTTTAGCATTAAGCAGGATCTGCAGTATTCATGCTTTCTCCACATGTGGCAGGGAGCTGATTCCTAGAGTTTGGCTGGTGTTGAACTGGAAACAGCTCTGAGGAACCTCCAAACCTGAGGAAATGGATTCCCATTTAAAAAAGAGAAAAAAGATTTTCTACAGCTGAAGTTGATAAGACTCCACGGGTGGGTGAAATTGTCAGGATTGCTGAAGGATTTTCACTCTCTTTTTATTATTATTTTTTAATATTACTTTCACAGAATAAACACACTGTCTCATTTTAATTGCAAAGCATCACCAGCTGCCTTTGGCAATTTCATACAATTTTTTCTTTGCACTTGTGGGCACATCCAGTATCTCACAGTATTATTGTGGGGAGGGTGGTAAAATACACCCAGACATAACTGGAGGCATAAGTAGATATACTCACTAATTAATAAATACATAAACAGTAATAATAGCTAGGTGGACAGAACTCATGCTTATATATAAACTTCTCAGAGGAATGTATGTGGGTTTGATTTTTTTGGGAAACTTGCATTTGTGTGTGTGTGTGTGTGTGTGTGTGTGTGTGTGTGTGTGTGTGTGTGTGTGTGTGTGTGTGTGTGTGTGTGTGTGTGTGTGTGTGTGTGTGTGTGTGTGTGTGTGTGTGTGTGTGTGTGTGTTAGCAGCCAGTGGTCACCTGTGGTCCCAGCAGGTGCCCCTGATTTTTAGGCTCTGATGTGCTGTGGCACCAGCATTTAGCAGTCCCCATCTGCAGGCTCACACTTGCCCTGAGTAATAGGCCACTGTGACAGCTGTGTTTGTGTTTCTGTTCGTAAATGCAGTGAGAGAGAAAGAAGAGACGCACTCGCAGATGCACAAGAAAAGCACAAAACTAATCTAAAGACAAAATAAACCACAACAAGAACTCTGTTAGAAGTACATTAGTTGCTTTAAATCTAGTCATTAAAATCAAATGGTCTCCTTTAAAACACAAACTTTTACTTTAGCAAGATTTTTGTCAGATAAAAAACTGAATTGTCAAAAGTTATAAAGTGAGATTCAACAATTCCATCCTGAAAATATGTTCAAGCATTCGGTTTCCAAGCCTTCACTTTATTACAAAAGTCTGATGATATGAGTACTACCACTGAATTCTCAACATTCTAATAAAGTAGGTAACATTTTACAGTAAGGGACACAAAACTGTGCTTTGTTACCTGGGAACGACTTAGGAGGTAATAGGGCTGAACATTTTTGGGAAAAGATTGAATTCCGATTTTTCTAGGATAAATAGCAATTTTGGTTTGATTCATGATTTTCTTCAAATGAGAGTTCTACATATTATTCACAGCATAGTGATATAAATTACACCATAAAATGTTAAAAGTTATTAATTTCCCCACATTGTTATCTTGTTTAATGTTTTTTTTAACTTGTGAAGCAACTTGCAATTTTTATCTAAATAGGCAGATTTGAAATAGAACCATCTGGTAACTGGACAGGCGGCTACTGCTGCCTCAGGTGCTAACGTCATTAAGGTGCTATTAGTACAGAATAACTTAGTCCAGTTTTGAAGAGTCTAGTATTAAAATTTATAATTAGAGCAGAGTAAAGATGCTCAGGGAGTGGAATAGTGGAATGGCCCTTTCTGACCATGAAACTAATAAAAGAGAACCAACTTCAGCTTCATCTGGTACATCTTTGTTTTTGCTTTTTGTAATAATTGTGTCTCTTGTTCTTGATTTAAATAAATAAATAAAAAATCAC